GTGTTTCCGGTGGTGTAGTGGAAGATTCCAATACGGAAGACGACGTGCAGGATGACGAAAACCTGGACCCGGATTACGGGAGCACCAACCCTTATGATGAGGATGGCAGCGACTACAGTGTCGAGGTGACTCACATGGTTACAGTGCGTGACGGTGACTCATCGCACCCGCGGCAGCCTGAGGATGAGCCTTGGCCTGGTATCGAGGACCAAGACCATATGTCGGATGGGGAGAACATCGATCCACTCTTCTCCCCTGCAGTGGGTGCCAACGACGACGCTCAATCCGATGTGAGCAGCCAGCCATCTGAGTACCCCAGCACTCAGCGCGGTTGGCAAGTCCCCGGTGCCGAGGATGGGATTGGTTTCCGTATCCACGAGGATAACGACCGCATGCATGGTGGCTGGCACTAAGTTGCAACATTTCATTTACGTTTCATCTTATTTCACATTTATCTTGATGAGATGACGCAGCGTGTTTGGGAGTTGAGGTTGTACATCGATCATATACGTTGGCATATGTCATGGGCGTTTCCGGAGTCTTGTTATCTATGGCATGGCGTTCAGATGGCGCATATTTCCATCCATTTTTCTTTCTCGGATCTTGTCCGGGGGTGGCCGAAGCGTTGCTCATAGAGTGGTCATGATGGAGGCGACGTTATCGGGCTGGGAGAATGGAGCGTATGGTATGGATGGCGGTTGAGTGACTGGATAGATCCGTCGGGGAAAAGTTATGGTGCCATCTCGTACAAGAGCGTCGCTATGCCGAGCGAGCTTGGATAGTTTGCGCTCTCGGCTTTGAAGTTTGATGCATAGCTAGATAGCGACAACTCCAGTATATATACTTGTCAGTCGCTTATTGGGTCTTCATCTTGTCACTCGTGCTTCCGTTCGCCGACTCCATGACGAAATGCATGAGTGGACATCAACACAATCTGGGAAAGTTGGATATCCCTTGGCTTAGAGATAACAAAGCATTTCGAGCGCGATAGAAGAGACAGTCTGAGGAGCTGGGGAGAGAGGCTAGTAGCTCATCCGGAAACTGCATATACGCCTCACTGCCGCTGTTTGACTTGGCCAAAGCAAAGGCACGTTGGGATTCTGCCAACTAGGAGATAAGAACCCCGTTTGTCTGTTCAAAATCATTACGTATCTAGAGCTTTGCTTCGGCCGCGTAGTGAAGGGCTGTGCACAAGTTTTGTTTTCAAGCACCGTCTCTCGCTTCTCTGCAAGACGTATAGAGCCACCAGACTGGCATGGTCAAGTTTCATTTTCCCCAACTACAAGCCTCGTCTTCGCAGTGAGTTCATCAAATACGGGTAGCTATAGCCATGTAGAAACATCGTGTTCTACCCGTACAGCAGCTGTTGCATTTCTCTCTCCAGCGGTTCCAAGACGTTTTCCTCGATCGACTGGACAAAGTCCGTATCATCCAGCGATGCAAATGGGTTGATGCAGCATTGAAGACAATAAGTGATGGCGCTCGTGAACCCAAAGCTGAGATTGCCCTCATTGACCTGGACATCGAGCCACCTCGTCACCGTCGAGAGGTCGGTCCACATGTTTGGCTGTCCGTCTGGTGGCAGATCTTGGTCTTCTCTCAAGCTTTCGATTGGACAGCCGCATTTCAGTTCTACTAACATTATGGCGAGGGCGAGCATGTTGATTCGCCCGGCGGGTGGGATGCCAGACTTGAACTGGGGCGATGGCTCGTCTTGTAAATCTGGATGTTAGACCTGTAGATAAGGTGGTGGGAATAGACAACATGAGGCCGCTTACCGGCACAGTATTGACACGTAAGGTAGGGGTGCCTGATGTCCACCGACGAGGCATTTCCGCCCTTCAAACGTAGGAAGGCGATGCTCCTCCTACTCCATGGTTGATGTAGCCAGGGGGTCTCGCTGAGCTGCAGAACTGAAGACGCGAGGGTGACGGCGAGGCAGTAGTAGTCTGCTAGCACGTAGTCATGGCGCTTGATCGATGGCAGGAACTCGTCCAGTGTCGTATGGCTCTGGGCGAGAGCGCATTTTTGGGTTTCAACCTGGTACAGTCCCCTCAGTATATCCGAGGAGTCGATGGCGAAGCCAATGTGAGGATGCATAGCTTCCTCGATGGTCGTGCATATGTCCTTCACCTCTAGGGCTGTTATGCTTTTGGGCTCATCTAGGCTTTCTTTTAGTTCTGCCATTGAGAATGTCACCTTTGGTGCATTTTCGCTTCTACATTGTATGTTAGAACCACGGAACACTCTTGTTCAAGGTCAAAACTTTACCTGGACATTATGAAAGAGTCGTCAATCCTGAATTCCGTATCAAGCCATGTCATGACCGCAGCCCGCCATAGTGAAACTCCAAAGCGATCCATTTTACCCGCCTCCATCACGTTTCCCTTGCGGCTCTTCTTTATGCGTCGAACAATGCGTTGTTCTAGAAGCAGCCCCGCCTGATGGTAGTCGTGATCCGAGCACCACCGCCCGCAGAGCCCTCCATGGACTCTCGAGGCGTTTGCGCGGATGCTCTGAAGGGGTGCCACGAAGCGGATGCGCGGTCTCCGGGTAGGCCCCTCGTCCTGCTGAATTGCATTGATCGTATCGGCGCCCGTTAGTAAGTCTCGAAGTTTCCTGTTACAGCTTTCTAGTTCGGTGAGCTTCTTGTCGATCGTCCGACGCTTCATGGTGAAATTGACGCGCTTCCGGAATTGGAAGCGCTGGCGAGGGTCAGGGGTCTTTGAGACTGGTGGGTTTGCTAATATGACGGTCTGAAGTCCATCATCTAAAACCTTGGTTTGCAATTCTGTCAGCATAGCATCACCAGCCTCTGCTTCATGATCCTCTAACCTGGTCCGAGCCATCAATGTCTAGACCAGCCGCGATGGTCACCATGACGGCCTCCATTTCCTTCACTAATGCCATGCATGGCCCGTAAGCTCTGCTTAACTCGCTTTTCAGGTCCAATAATAGCTCTCTGGACGTCCAGAGGTGATCTTGGGGGTCTTCGACTATCCGGTCCAGTTCATCGTGGCTCACAATTCGCCCCAGCATCAGTCGAAGGTTTTGGTCATACGTGGCTCTTTCGGTAACCAGGCGCAAAATTACTTTTGACAACTCTCCTCTCCATTTGAAAAAGGCCACGGCAGGGTCAACGAACTCCTGGTAATGCTCCAGGGCAGATATGACGAGAGGCACGGCACCGAGAACCAAACCAGCGATCTCTGCCATCTGGAAGGCCAATGCTAAAGCTTGTAAGCTTTAGAAACTGTCATAGAACTTGCTATAATCTTGGTTCAAAGTCAAATGCCGAGGGTCGCAGGGAGACGAGAGAAGTTGGGAACTCGACTGTAGGAGTTACAATGGTTGGATGATGCTCCGTCAGCTTGCATAACCGAGCTGAGCTGAACTAGAACGACAGGAGCCTTGCAGAATGAATGATTCCAATTGGACCGTTCCATCGATGAGATACAAGTGAATACCCCTCTTTCCGGAAGTACCTTGCCAGACCCGAGCCTTATCTCGAAATCAGCTGTGGATGATACTTAATCGTTGCGTGATTTTGCTCTGCCTGATCGTTCAGACCTCCAGTAAACCAAATTCCAGGGTCACTAATACGGTTGAGAACTTCAGTTTGACCTTCCGATTGTACCTAATTCTCATCCAAATAACGTCTGGAACATTATAGTGTCGTTTACTGGGAACGACTATTATCGCCGCGGTACTCAGAACGGATAATGCGGTCCAAAAAGTGCAAGATTCTCTCAGACGGAAACCGATATCATGGAATCACAACAGGCTTTTCCTCTTGCAGAGACCACTAGAACATGCATGTCTTTGTTCAACGCCTTAAAGTCCAGCTCAGAAACTGCCATCGACAAGTTCAAAGCACAGCTCCCTTCACAAGTTGTGCGAGACCAGCAAGATCGTTTCAAACTATGGGCAACCAACCTCGGAGCCCTTCAACGAGGCAGAGCGTCATTGGATTTTCGTTTGATGGATTCAAGTCTTATGCACAGCACCGTATACAAGCTGCTGAAGGAGCTGGAAAACACTATCAAGAGAAGTACGAAGCCAATCCGATTTCCTGTATCTTTGGCAGAGAATCCAGGCAGATGAATGACGAACATTTTCGCTAATCGAATGACTAGGCGAACAGGTGGTGACTGGATCAAGACCACCCTTGGAAGAAACGCTCATAAACGATATGGATGACAGTTCAGGCTATTCCAGTGAAAGCGGCAGCTCAGACGACGGCGGTGATTTTTCAAGAGTCCCCGTGAAACAGACAGAACTAGGGCAGAACACTGCCGAGATAAATCACATCCTGTCATCACTCGTCAAATTATCCTTCAGAATCAGGGGGCCTGCAAACAGAACTGCGCATCTAGACCACAAGGCTCTGAACCATAAGGAGCTAGTTCCTGTCGATGGAACGACGATGGGCGACTTACTCGAAGCTTACTGCACTCTTGATCGACAGCATGTTGAAGAAACTCTTCGGCAGCTTCGGAAGAATCAAGCTGCAGTAGAAATTTACGATGATCTCCATGTTCCGGCGGCTGTTGACTCGGCTGCGGCTGAGAAGAGTAGCGGTATGCTCGAGAGTTACCTCGTTGATCGCTGGAGCAAGTCAATCACAAGCAGGCGGCGAGTCTTTGCATACTGGCGGAGACATGCCAAGAAGCTTGCAAAGGATGATCGACCGTCACAACCAAGAGAAACCACAGCTCGACCAAGTGAGCCCCCAGTAGCCGTGCCGCTGGGAGTTTTGCGGTCTTCTGAAGGTCTCAACACAAACTCTCGGCCTGTCGAGTCCCATGTACCGAGTTCCGCTGGGCGCACATTACTGTCTGGAACAGACGCGACAAAGTACCACCACGACGGAGACAATATCGACTCCGTGTCCACCATATCCTATGTTTCAACAGCTTTTGGGGACGATGGAACGTCGGAGCTCCCTGCTCCGCCTCTAATCAAGCCCGATCAGTTGGAGTTCGTGTGCCCTTATTGCCATGTCTTATGCGCCGCTCGAGAAGGAAGAGGCCGGCGTTGGAGGTAAGAACTCACCGTAGATTGGAACTATTAGGACCATTTGAGACTGAACCTCTTTCAGGGAACATATTCTACAAGATCTTCAACCGTACATGTGTACATACGCCGATTGCATAGAGTCGAGTGCGATGCACAGCAGCAAGGCTGCCTGGCTGGAACACGAATCCCGTGTTCATCGTAGGGTATGGCGCTGCTTTGAGCATAAAGATCTATTTAGGTCGAAAGATGCCTTGGTCAGGCATCTCGAAGCATCCCATGCTACATTAAGCCAGGCTCAGATACAGGGTATGGCTAGCTTCGCACATGCTAGCACAACGGATGTGCGCGAAACTTGTCCCTTTTGTTTATCTAGCGGCCCGTTTGAGACCTCCCTCACAGATCATATGGCCTTTCACATGGAACGACTTGCTTCTTTCTCCATTCCACGACATGCACTAGAAGAGGATGAGCCGACGCATGGGAGCAATTCCGGAGCTGCTCAGGGAAATCGGTCCGAATCTTCTCTCCTGGATGTCAGTCTAAAATTCTCAGACATCAATTCCAAGGCATCGTCTTCTCCCGATGTTGCGTCTCTCAAGCTGGAAATTCCCTTCGAAGAGAACTTCCAGGACAAACAGGAAAGCCAGGATAATGCTCCAGACCCAAACAAAATCTCTAATGATGATTTTGCCTTTAACTACTACTTACAGCAGCGACACCCGGGTACCTGGCAATGGTTCTTGAACTCAACCAGCCATCAGACATGGCTATCCCAAGCCGGGGAGAAACGCCTAGTTCTGGGCGTGCCTGGTGTCGGAAAATCTGTTCTAGCTTCAGTGGTGCTTGAAGACCTGAGACAGAGGTTCAGGAACGATGAGTCCATTGGAGTCGTGGGATTGTTCTGTGAAGTTTACAAAGAAGAAGGCATTACGGATAAACTAATTCAAAGCTTCTTGACCCAGCTCCGCGGCCCCGAGAAGTCAAATTCCGCAAAATACGAAGAGAACAGTAACTTGCCAATTGACAAAATGTCAACGCAAGATCTTTGGACTGGATCCCAACTATCGAGAGTCTTCGTCGTCGTTGATGGATTGGATCTGCGAGCACGAGACACAGAATTCATCCAGTGGTTACTGGACATCATTGCTGGGCAACCAAAAGTCAGCTTGCTTTTCACTTCCAGAATTATCCCGACGATCCACAACGCGTTACTGGACTTCCCGATCCAGGATCTGCGGGCCACGGAAGCTGACATATCAGCATATGCACTCAAATCTCTTGCTACGGCGATGACAATTAATATCTATCCAGGACAACTAGAGGAACTTGAGGAGAGGACGGTGACTTTTGCAGAAGGAGTGTAAGTCGGAACCTAGGCCTTTCGGGAGCAGTCATCTAACGAAGCTAGGTTTCTATTTGCTAAAGCCCATATTGATGCCTTGAAGGACAGCCAACGAATGGAATACTTGAGCAATCTTGCCTTGTTGCAGAATTCTCGAGCCATCAACGACTTCTATAAAAAGATCATGCTGCGCGTCCAACAATCGAAGATGGGCAACACCCTGAGTGCATGGATGGCGCACTCTGACTATATTTTGGAAAAGCCGCAAGCCCAAAACTTGATAGGGTTTATTCTCAACGACTGCGCTTCAGACTCTGGGACATTTCTGGATGTAAACGCAGTCATCTCTTCTTGTGCTGGGCTTGTCCTGGAAAGCTCAGAGAACTGTCTGACATTCTTTCACCACACGACAGACGAGTATTTTCGTCAAACACGGGATACGTGGTTTCCAGGCGCCGCCGAGGAACAAACGGAAATTTGCTGCAAGTATCTCTCCATGGATGCTTTTGCAGCAGGTCCCTGCCTGTCAGACGATGAGTGGGAAGAACGCTTGCTTCAACATCCTTTCTACATACACGCGGCTCTAGCATGGGGTCTCTATGCCCGAAAAGCGCTGGACAAGCATAAAGATGCAACGGATACAGAAGCCAAAGACAGAGTACGTGGCGCCATCTTGGGATTTCTTAGAAGGGATGTCAACGTCCAGGCAGCTGTCCAAGCCTTGAAAGTGGATGATACAGAGTCACACTCTTCGGGATGGAGCCAGGTGTACCCGAAACAATGGACAAACATTCATCTTGCGGCCTACTTCGGGCTGACGGAGATATTGGACACAATGCTTCCTGAGGATGGCGTACTTTGGGATACCAGCATAGACGGCGTCTACTCCCCAATCATAGTAGCTGCGGAACGAGGACATCACTCCACGCTAAGTTTCATGCTGGGAAAGCTGATTGATCGAAGCGGAAGGTTGCTGACTGGTTTGTACGGAATGGTTGGCCATTTGGCCCTCGAAGGAGCCGCTCAGAACGGACATGAACCCAACGTTCGGTTGTTGCTGACCTATGGTGCTGATCCTAACGGTATCGCTGGATCAATCACGCCGCTCTCCTATGCCGTCAAAGATGGCCACACCAACGTAGTGGAGACGCTGCTGGAGTATGGGGCAGACCCGAACCTCAAAACCGAAGTAGAGGGTCCACTGGACCTGGCCGTCAAGAACGGACGGGAAGACATCGTCACCTTGCTCATCAAACATGGAGCGTCCCTCGACAAGAAGGGCTCAGCCCCGTCGGGCTCGACCACCCCTCAGCACATAAACCCTGAAATCGTACCGTTCATGCTGAAAGACGGCGTTGGGGTAAACTACAGGAATGATGACGGCTTCACGGCACTTCATATCTCTTCAATAAGCGGTCATATCGATACCGTGAGAATCCTGCTTAACCATGGAGCAGATGCAACCATTATGGACAATTCGGGCGCTACGCCCTTAGATTATGCCATCGATGGAGGTCATGAAGAAGTGGTGAACTTGATCTTGGAAAATGGTAGCGAATTTCAGGGCTTGGTCGACAGCACCGCAGATCATGTAAGTTAGCGAAGCAAGACAAAGGCCGTCACTATCGAATGAGGAACCGTTAGCCCCCCTATTTCCTGGATATATATGCTAGAGATCTGGTTGTTCAAATCATTTCATGATCATAGCAAGTCGGAAAGAGTAACGCATTTAGAATTCATGCGCAGGATTTTGAATTGAGGCTGACTTCATGAAATGGGTGTGATCGTTGGATGTTTTATTGAACTTGGACAGTTGAATGTAGACGCTTCCTGTAGTATAGTACGTAAATTGGATCCGCGATCTCTAAAAGTCTACCCAAGTCCCAAGAAACTCCTGCTCAATTGGTTCCAGCACCTTTTCTTGAATGGTTTGAACAAAGCTGTCGTTGTCAAATGACGCAGCATAGTGAGTGGAAAATTGGAGGCAGTGCCAAATCGCGCTTTTGAACCCTTTGGTTAGTTGTCCTTTATTTTCCTTCTGAAGGAACCATCGCTGTGCGGTGAGGAAATCCGTTTGCTCGTGTGGCTGCCCATCTGGCCCCATCTCTGACTCTGTCCTGATGTTTTCGATAGGCGTTCCGAAGTTGAGTTCAAGGAGCATAATGGCGAGCGCCAAAATGGTTCGTCGGTTGCGCAGCCGTAGTACAGCAGTCTGGGCCTCGTGTTGTGGCACTGCGGTATCTATTTTTGGTCAGTAACGTAAAGTGGCAGATCTCATAACTTCCAAGACAGCTTACCAGAGTCATATTGGCAAGCTAGGTATGGATGCTTGATATCCACGGACGACTGGCTACCATCTTCCAGTCGCAGAAAGGCGATCCGTTGCCGGCTCCATGATTGTACAAGCCACGGTGTTTCTCCCAGTTGCAACACGGATGAAACCAAGGTTAGAGCGAGGTAATACAGGTCCGGCATAGAATGATCCCTCCTATGAATCACAGGGAGGAAGTGATCCATGGTGACGAAATTAGCGGCCAGGTGGTATTGCCTAGTTTCAACTTTATATAGACCTCGAAGGATACCTGATTGGTCTATCTCTAGTCCTACTTGAGGGTAGATTGCGCCGTGGATAGCGGTGCAGATGTCGGTGATCGCCAATGTCCCCAAAACTGGAACGCTTGTGTTCAGCGTGGTCTGAATGTTCGGGCCTGTGATGACCATACGAGATACACTAGAACCGGTTTGACTGATTCAGTCAGTAATGATTGCATCTATGTGCGTGAAGGCGATGATAATATGGATACCTTGTGCTGGCGGAAGACTCGTCATAGACACGAATCTCTGTGTCGATCCAGGACATCTCAGAGAACTTCCACATGGAAACGCAGAAGCATTCCGGTGATCCCACATTTCTCAGTATTTCTTGCTTTGACAGTTCTCTCCGCCTCCTTATCCGTTGCTGAAGAAGCAATCCAGCCTGATGACACTCGTGATCGGCGCAAAATCGTGTGCGGAGGCTTTGGTGGACTCTGGCCGCGTTGTCTCGTATTTTCGGCAGCGGAGCAACGAATTTGATATCGACTTTCGAATACAGACCATTGCTCTCGTTTATGGAGTTGATTTTAGTCTTCGTATCCAGAAGCTTGCCCAACCTGTCGTTGTCTCTCTCTATCGATGCAATAGCTTTATTCAGTTGACTTCGCTTCATTGTGAATCTTATTTGCCGTCGAAACTCGAACCGGGAAACGCCGTCTTGCGTCGTTGATATTGGACAGTTGGCTGACACGAAAGCTCTCAGGCCTCCTCGTGTGATCTTCAAGACAGGATGTTAGCATGGCTCTGCAGTGCCCCGGGTGTAAGCATCTAACCTGGTCCGACCCTTCGATATTAAGACTTGCTGCAATTGTCTCCAAGTTTTCTCCAATGTCTCGAACCAAATCAATGCAAGGCTCATAAGAGCTGTTCCATTCGTCCCTCAAGTCACCTGTCAAGTTTTCGTCTGTCCAAAGTTCACACTGCGGATCGCTGATCATCTCCTCCATCTTGGTGGAGCGCACGGCTTTCGATAACAAGACTCGTAGATTATCGTGATAAGTTGCGCGCTCTACAGCTAGCCTTCGAATGTTATTCTTAAGATCGCCCCTCCAATTCTTAAATCTAATAACGGGATCAATGATGTCTCGATAGTGCTCCAAGGCAGATATGAGCAGAGGCACGGCCCCGAGTACAAGGCCGGCGATCTCCGCCATGATTGGCCCTCAAGCGGATCAATCAACACTGTTGCTTAGTCTATCATGGATCTACTTGACCTGCTGAATCAAAAGCTCAGATACCGTTGTATGCGAATGTATGACCGACTGTGACACGCTGTATAACAAAGAAGCTGCGATTCCCCCGCACATTCGCCAATTGTAGATATGGCCACTGCAGCCTTGCGGCTGCGGCTCTGCCATTGGACATGTGACTGAAGTTGCACAGAAAGTGCTCATGCAGTCAGACTTGGCGTTTCCATTTCTGGCTTCCCGTGATATCAAGCCGGCCCGTAAGGCATTTCCGCCACCCCGCTTATCTCGATACCCAACGTGCGATGCTACTGCGTCTTTCTTATCGCACCAAAAAGCGGTCGACATAGTCCAGCTAGCAGTTTCACTCACTCGAAGTCTCCGAGGCAATATATCAAGAGAGACTCATTCCAGTCCTTTCTTCTGAGCGGGTCGTTAGATGTTTCTGGCTCCGATGCCATGGAGACACAAACAACGACTGAGCCGATACCGATTCCACTCGCAGCGGCAATTACAAAATGCGTGGAAACTTTCAATCTTCTTGTATGCAGTCTGGAAACCCCCATCCAGAAATCAGACGGGAAACTCTCCATCTCGGTGGTCAAAAACCAGCGAGATAGACTCAGGATATGGGCAACTAATATCGGAGTGCTTGGACATGGAAAGGCGTCCTTGGACGTTGAGATGATGGGTTCTTCGCTCACAAAGATCACCATCCTCAATTTGCTAACTGACTTGGATGCTACGCTATTGAAAAGTAAGAGCTCATTCACATCTTCGCGCCAAAAGAACTTCCTGTGGAACCTATTGTGTCCTCTTAAACCTGTGAATTGGGTATAGAAAGAGTGTGGATGTAACTAACGGTTCGATGTAGGCATCGAAGTGGTCAAGGGTGACAGAGCCCCTCTCGAGCAAACAGTCGAAAGCGATTCCGAGGATGGCTCTGAGAACTCTAGCGAGAGTAACAGCTCCAGCGATGGCAGTTACTTTGGCAGATACGACATGAGGACCGAGCTGGGACAGAACACTGCTGATGTTGACCAGACTCTGTCATCTCTTGGGAAGATATCATTGCGAATCAGGGGCCCTGCTTTCCAAACTAGACAAGTAAACAAGAAAGCCACCGAATATGAGGAGCTGTTTCGAGTGGAAGATCAGGTGGATGGTCAGATTGTTGAACGGGTTATTGACCTGTTCGGCGCTTACTCGGATTTTGATCAACGCCATGTCAACGAATTCATTCGGCAACTCCAAAGGTCCACGACTGGTAAGGTAGACGATCCTCCATTGCCGCCGGGAACACCAGATAAACTGCACTCAAGAGAACCCCCTCATTACTTGACACAACGCTGGGGAATTTCAATCACGACTCGCCGTCGAATATTTGCGTATTGGAGACGGCGAGCTAGAACGCCTAGTGTGACGGAAGTCACTCCTCAGCCTACGCCAATGAACCTTGACGATTTGCCGTTTCCGACGAACAAGAAACGGAGGCTGATGTCTTCTTCCGGCCAAGAAGATGAAGCAACGAATTCTTCGAAGCGCACATTACTGCCAGAAACAGACCTCTCGCCAGACTATAGAAAAGCCGATGATGTGGGCGCTGTTTTGAAAACTTCTTCTGTTGCAATTAGGCTCCATGACGACAACGGTTCCACCAGATTTCCGTCCCCTCCTGCTTTGGCACCCGAACAGAAAACATTCGTCTGCCACTACTGCAACGAACTTTGCACTTCCGAATGCGCCGAAGGCGGGCGCTGGAGGTGAGTGACCTCGTGGTCTCGTAAAGCTCGGCGACAACCTGACCATTTTGATAGAGAACATCTTCTACAGGATCTGCAGCCATACATGTGTACCTATGCCGACTGCAAAGACGAAGAGGCCAGCAAAATATATGCCACAAGAAGTGCCTGGCTTGAACATGAGTTGCAGAGTCATCGCATAATCTGGCACTGTTTCGAGCATCAAGACAAGTTTAAAACAAGAGCTGCTTGGATAGATCATATGGCTACATCGCACACCACCTTTACAGAAGCTCAGATACAGAACATGTCTGAATTCGCTTATGAAGACACCAAGGATGAAAGAGAGAAGTGTCCGTTTTGTCTATCCTCCTCTAAAGACTTAGCGAGTCATATGGCATTACACATGGAGAGATTGGCCTCTTTCGCTTTCCCAACAACTCAAGGAACTGAGGAGCCAGACTCATCGCAAGTCAGCTACAGGAGGGATGCCCAAGATGGTATTGATTTCATGCCATCCTTGCAGAGTGTTAGTCTGAGGTTCTCAGATGAAGAAACGGATGAAGAATCCTTGGGCTCACCACGCCAGCCTGAGGACGGATTCCAGAACTACGCCGCTACCACTGAGGATACTGGGAGTAGTGACGATGGCGTCCGTCAAGACGGGCTTACCGTACCGACAGACGATGAAGTAGCCTATCAGAAATATAGGAATCAGCGGTACCCAGGTACTTGCCAATGGTTCCTGGACTCAGAGAAATACCGAATGTGGACGGATAACGAAGGGGACTCGTTCCTTGTCCTCGGTGCACCCGCCGTTGGCAAATCTGTTCTAGCCTCGGCCGTTATTGAAGATCTTTACGCGGAGGCTCGCAGAGTGGCATCTATGGGTATCATCCTTGGGGTTGTCGGCTTGTTTTGCGAAAGACATGCATACGGTGGTGATGTCAGCATGAGTCTACACCGAAGCCTCATCAAACAGCTTCTCCATGCTCTTCCGGGGAACCTTGCGTCTCCAAATGAAGGACTTTTTGAAGCCGAAGAGAACGACATCCTTCTGAGCCAAGGGACACGAAGAGAACTTCTCGTCCGTGCCGCTCGCAGAATGAGCAGGATTTTTGTCGTTGTAGACGCTCCGGAATTGCTCGGAAATCACCAGGAATTCTTACAGTCGATATCAGACTTACAAAACTATGGTATCAAGGTCAATCTCCTAATGACCTCCAGATCAGTTCCAGTTGGCTTTGGTTGGCATACTCACACAACGACAATACACGCCACATGTCGTGATATCTCGAGATTTGTACGAGGTTTTTTGAAAGCAAACCCATCTTCTGCACCCCTAGATGGGATTCTCAAACAGACTGTGGACTTTGCGCATGGATTGTGGGTGTTTTTCCATAAGTATCTGTACGAAAAACTACTAACAGCACTAGGTTTCTCTTTGCCAAGATTTATCTCGATCATCTAAATGCCAGCACACGAACCAACAACGGGGGCTCCTTCGACCCAAACAGCTCTACGCCATTGGTGAAGTTGTATACTGACGCTATGATTCGAGTGCGGAAGTCACCTATATCAGAGTGGGCCACAACTCTCATTGCCTGGATGGCTCTCTCTGAATCTAGCCTGAGGCTTGACAAGGGGGCGTTCGAGGATCTCTGCACGTTCAGAAACAGCAGACGGGCTCCTCCTCCTGGCCTGAATCTGGAAGCTGTGATCTCTTCCTGTGCTGGTCTTGTCGTCGTCGATTCAGAGGGTTATCTTGATTTCTTCCACGGTACAGCGAAGTCATTCTTTACTTCGGACCGAGATTATTGGTTTCCGAGTATGGCGCGAGAACAAGCAGAAACCTGCTGTGAATACCTGTCTATGGCGGCCTTTGAGTCTGGGCCTTGCAAGACGGACTTTAGATGGGATGAGCGAATGGTGATGCATCCGTTCTATGCCCACGCTGCAACATCATGGGGAAAGTACGCGCGGAAGGCTTTGGACCAGGAAAAGAGTTCGAGTGACCCGCGCATTGGTGAAACCCTGCGGCGAGCCATCACAACCTTCCTCAGCAGCGGAAAAGCTGTTCAGGCTGCTATGCAAGTTGTGGACGCATTCAAAAGAGACGACTCGAATGTGCCAGAATGGGGCCAAGTTCATGATCGCCTAAGCGTTGAAGTCGCAGCATACTTCGAGTTGACCGAGATTGTCGACATGCTACTACTTGTAGAAGCCGCGAAGTCCGGAAAAGTGTCTGAAGTCCGCCGTCTTCTCAAACAGGGAACATATGTCCATGGATTCGGGCCAGACAGCCCACTCCGTTCTGCAATATTGAATGGCCACAAGGACGTCGTGGGAGTGCTGCTGGAATATGGCACCGACGCCAACTCTGGCTCTGCATGCGAATATCCATTGGACTGGGCCATGGACATGGAAGGGGAGATTGGAGACATCACACGCTTGCTCTTGGACTATGGGGCCGATCCTACAAAGATACGCACCAACCTGCTAAGCTTCGCCGTCAGGGATGAGGACATGAACATGGCGAAACTGCTTATTGGCAAGGGCGTAGATATCAACGCAGCAGACGAGAGCAGATGGACGGCGCTTCACTTTGCAGCTATGAATGGGTTGCTGGACTTTGTCCTGATCCTGCTAAAGCACTTACCCGTCGCGACTGCTGCGGACTTGATGGGGAGAACGCCACTTGACTACGCGGAACAGAATGGTAAAGAGGCTGTTGTCCGCAGACTTAGGAAGTATATGCATGAGACCATTTGATTATTATCAAGTGAGATCACCGGCTATCGGTCATCTTGATTTGAATCAAAGTCCGAAGTCGTTTTACTTGATTATGCGTGAATTGGTTTCAACAACGTGAATTTGCCAATGAGAAAGACAAATAGTTTGTCCAAATACTTTTACACGAGTCCAAGGTCCTTCTCGACCATGCCGCGGCAGATGGGGTGGTAGAAGTCACGGTTCTTCTCAAAGGTCTTGAGCGCAAGATCGCGGTCGACCTTGTTCAGCGAACGGAACAGAGGCCTGACGAACTTCATGCGGCCGACGTGACCAAGAAGCTCAGCGGCACCGGCGTACGAGGATGAGTCCTGGGCCGCCAGGGCGATCTTGTAGTAGGCAGTCTTGAGCTCGGCGTTGCGCGATGAGACGAGGTCGTATGTCTTGCCGAGCAGGCGGGCGCGGTCGGCGGACAGGGGGCTCGGGAACTTCTCGATGGTCTCGAGGAGGACGAGCTTCTGATTTCCGGAGAATGAGGCGACGTCATCGGCAGAGGGAGTGTACTTCTGCTTAATTATTAGTATCGTGTTAGAGATGTGGACTAAAGTAGACTTACCTCGTCCTTCCAGTTCTCCGCTAGCTTGTAGCACACATCCGCGAGCGAGGTGTCGAACTCGGGCTTAGGGGGCAGACCAGGCTGGTAGAACCACTTATCCCAGTCAATAGAGGCAACCTTGTCCTTGATCTCCGCATCGCCGAGGCCGTTGAAGAAGGTGAGGAAGGTGTCCTTGAACTCGAAAGAGTCGAGAGACTTGCGAGACCACTTGGTGAAGTAGTGGGGGATGAACTTGTCAAAGGCGTCGCGGCTAACGAGGCGCTCGAGGTAGTAGAGGAAGTGGAAGCCCTTCTCGTAGGGAACGGTGCTGAAGGCGTCATCGGGGTCGATGCCCTTGTGGTTGATGATGAGCTTGGTGAACTCGGAGTCGTTGCCGAAGAGTGCGACGGCGTCCTCTGATATATGTTAGTGAGTGAGATCTCATGTGAGACTGAGTAGAGAATCCGTACCCAGAGCCTTCCAGCCGATGATGGCAGAGAAGTCACGCTCAGCATCACCGTGAACAGCCATGCCGATTCTGCGCTCGAGGTAAGTTGTCCAACCCTCGTTCAACCAGCTATCCACCCATTAGCATCTCATCTCATCTCATCTCATGTAAACCGGCTCACTCACAAGTGCTCCCAGCTACAGCTGGTGACCAAGTTTCCACTCCACGAATGGCTCAGCTCGTGAGCAATAACATCCACGTTCTGCTTGTCACCACTGATGATAGTCGGGGTCGCGAATGTGTAAATGGGGTTCTCCATACCGCCATAGGGGAAACTGGGCGGCAGGACCAGCACGTTGTACTGGCCCCATCTGTAAGGGAAGACAAGCTTCTCCGCGACCTCCATGAACTTCTCCATGTCGCCCTGGAGCTCCCACTGCGACTCCTTCAGCTCATCGGGTCCCGTGGCAACAATACTGCGCGGTCCAATGTCCGCCGTCGCGATGTCTCCAGACGCCAGCGCAAACAGGTACGACGGGATCGGCACCTTCTGCTCGAAGCGGTACACCGTCTCGTCGCCCTTCTTCTCCGGCTCGCCCTCGACAGCCACGCCGGACGCAACGACCGGCAGCGGCGAGGTCAGGACAAAGGTGTACGTCGACTTGACGTCGGGGGTGTCCTGGCACGGGAACAGCGAGCGCGCGTGGATGGCCTGGCACTGCGAGAACATGTACGGGTGCTTCTTGTTGCTCGTCTGGGCGGGGGTGAGCCACTGCAGCGCGGTGCACTTGTCGGTGGTCGACAGGTCGACGTCGACCTTGACGATCTCGCCCTTTGCCGCGCCCTGGGGCACGAAGACGTGCAGGGGAGCGCCGTAGGGCTCGACGCGGTCCTTGAGCTCATAGGTGGAGGTAGTGGCGTTGACCTTGACGCCCTTGATGGAGAGGAAGCTGGAGTCGAGGACGATCTCCTTGCTCTCCTTGTCGGTCAGCGACTCAAGCTCGAGGGTGATGGAGCCCTTCAGACATTTTTCCTTGAAGTCGATGGTGAGGTTGGCGGTGGTGTGCTTGGTGAGCCACGCACCGTAGTTGGAGAGGGTGTTGGGGTCTCTGTTGGCGGCGGCCATCTTGGCGGTTGTGGCAAAGGCGGCGGCGCGGCTTGCGGGGTTGGCAACGCGGGTGAAGGCTGTTCTGAGCGGGTTCGAAGCCTTTGAGACAAGGAATCGCCACATGTGTGTTGAATTGGCACTGCGGAGCAAAAACAGGCTCCAGATTTTGATATCTCCAACTCCTCTCGTGATGTCGTTGGGAGGACTTGCCAAATTGGGACTAGAGTTTCGAGCTCCAGCCACAGCTCGCTGCAGAAGACAGGGTAAGCAACGCCACAGGGTGCGCCACATGCAGACCCATCTCTTACTGAAGATGCCCCTGCTGCCTCAGGTTCCACCTTGGGCTGTTTGTTTCAGCGAGCGAGCTCAGTACCACTCTTCACCATCATCCCAAACATCCCAACACAGCTTGACGAAAGGCTTGCGGGCTTCCGGAATCCCCTCGTCCTGCCTGTGGTGAACACCACAATCGAGATTCAACTTTCGTCACACACACTCTTAGACACATCCTCAACATGAGATGCAACTCACGTCTCGATGACGGCTATCAGTTTCTTGGCCTAGCTCCAGGTACACGCAACTCAACTCAATCACACCTTGATAAGCTCGCACCAGCCCAACACGGGGTATCTGTGTGATTCAGCCATCGTCGAACCTGCAGCACGGGACGGCCAACATCCTGAAACCAGCACTGCCTGTCCGAGATGGGATCTCCCTGCGTGACGTAGGAATCTTCCGTGTGGGTGTCCCAGCCGTTTCTCCTACTGGGTGCATCCGACTTGCTGGCCTTCCCTCCTTCCACCCTGGGCCTGGTTCACACACACCCTCACAATGCTGCTTCTGCTTCGCCGCAGGAACGCACACGCCAGAGGGAAAGAAAAGACGACGGCGTCAGAACAATATCTCCGTAGCTCCAAGGGTGAGAAACCAGATGAAAAGTCTCCTACCTTCGCCTAGCACCAGCAAACCTGGACCTGGGTGCCGGAAACCCCAGCACCTGGGCAGAATAGTTCGTTCGATGTATGTTTGGACCAGAGTATTCAAAAGGTTTCGAAGCACACAAAACGGCCCAGCTCCTACGGCCGGAGGCTGTCGCTCCATGTTGCAGGGTAAACCCGGGGAAAAGATTCAAGCAAGCTCAGCGCCCCTGAGGTAGTGAGGTCCCAAGACGCGCGATGGCAAGCCAGAGAGGCTTGACAGTGACGCTCGATTTGGTTTGTCACGATGCAGCACGCGCCGCCTCCTTTTTTTCAATCAAGTTTTTTTTTTTTCGTTCCTTCTCGGCTTTCATTCCCTTCCCTTCACCTCGCATATGGGCCCTGGCCCGATCAATGAATAGCCGGCCGCGCTGGCCACCTACCTGCTGGGCTCACGATCCCGCGGCCGCATTTTGGGACGAGCCATCCTTCGGCGGCCTGCCCTTTTTTGACGTCTGACATCCCAACGATCCGTTCTCGCCTGCGTGAACCGTTGGCTATTTTTTCTTCTGCTAGGAAAAACAGAGAGCTAGGGTCATATGCATCCGCAGCCGTGGGTACTGCTGCTCGGCGCTCTCAGTCACACCGGCGTGGGCGTGGCATATGGCGTGAGCTGTGGATACGGCTTCCAACGGTTCACCTTTCCAGGGCTCCGCGGGCTCGTGGCGTCCTCCGGCCAAGCCCGAGCCGAGAGATATGTGACAGAACCCATATCGCTGCGTGACGGTTGCCACGGTTCTGCGAGGTATGCGAGATCATCGAATCCGCACCAAGACAGAAAAGAAAAAAAAAAAAAAAAAAGTACCAGACGCTGTGAGAGCTTTGCAAGTCCTACCGGAAATCAAAGTCCCGTTTCCTCTCCGTCGCAATGTCGCTTCTCCCACAAAAGAGAAGCGGTCAACAGTCAGCAAAAGTAGAGTTCCATCTTCATACCGGCGATGCTCGCCAGAACGATAGGCTTTACCGACGCACCCCAAAGCTTAGCACGCCGCGACAATGGGAGAACTCTTGAGCTTGCGGAGTTCTCCCAATCTCAACATCCATCACCAATAACGAACCCCTCTTATTCATTTACCTAGGGCCTCGCGAAGCAACTGAGCTTGTCCGACCTCCCTCTTACCCCACACTCGATGAGAGGTGCCACACCAGAAAGGGGAGGGCCATCCCTGGTCGCGGAAACCCACAGTCTTCTGGAAGCCTGCGACCAACCGGAGTCCAAACAGCCAGCAGGGATGGCTGCGTTTCCGTGTTGATGGAAGGGGGGGGACGAGATTGGAAAGGGGTTGCCAGAACCTCGTTCGCTGGAAGTCATACTCGCCGCACGTATCGATAAGATCTGAGCTATGGCACTGGGGACATCCTATCTCGTTTTTTTTTTTTTCGGCGATGTTTGCCGATAATTGTTTTGTGGCTTGTGGGCGGTGCACAAGATGGCGCTCTCCGTCTGTCGTGTCTCGAGGGTCCGTCGGCTTGAAACAGCCTGAAAGATGCGACCAAGAGCCTCGTGTAGTGCGTCTCATGTTTGGGCAAACGGGGTGTGGAGGGATCTCTCGGTGACCAGGAACACCAAGACAGAATGCAGATACGCCTTTCTGCCCATGCCTTTGGCATCGGTTCTAGACAAGAAAACCCCTGGATTGTCAGCACTGACAAAACAAGAAAACTTCGGATTTTGAGCCACGGGAGGGTAAAGGCAAGGGTGAGGCGGCGGGAGGTCTGTGGCCAACACATCTCGGAGGTCGGACAGGAACGCAATACGTTAGGGTTTGAGAGGGAAGGGGTGTAATTGGCGGCGATGCCCTCTCTAACAGCGTCAGGAAGCTGCCGCGGCGAGATTTGAAGCCACGGAGGATGGGCACAATTCGAGTATGGGCGGGCCTTGGGGAGTGCTGGGTGCTGGATGCTGGATGCATG